AAATTCGAAGTGCTCTAGCTATTATGCCCTTTGGGCTCCAATGTAAGTGGGAAATAGAAACTTCATGAAGTTTCCTTATGCTTCCTTCACAACCACTTCAGGTGCTTTGTAACGACTGACAACTGAGGATGTGTCCAAGCCAGCTCCAACATCACGCTCCACACGCAAACGGCAAGTGCGAAGCGCATGATCTGGCAGCGACGCCTCCTGCAGTCGTTGAGCAGGAACTATACATCCGAATCGGACGAACCAGGCAGGTCAGTGTTGCAGTGTACTTTGAGTAAAGGTCCCCAATTGGTCTCTGCACTTGGAAGGCAAGTCAGGGGAGCATCTTCTGTGGACAATGGGGTAATGAGGAACACAGCGAACACAGCTCCTTGGAAGTCCAACTGCGGCGTTGAAAGCTACAAAGAGCGCATCGATGCGCTCCAAGCGGTGAAAACAAAAAAACAATATGGCGCTCCTCCAGAGCTTCCACCTCTCCCTCAGCGCCCTCACCTTGCTTCTCCTTCCAGCGCCTCTGCCTCTCTTCTCTCGCCTTCAGTCGCTCTTCTCGCTGCTTCTTCTTCTCCGCGCTGATGGGGAAATCCGCGGGCGGCACCACCCGCAACTGCAGGAAACAGTCGAACATGGCATCGATCTCAAAGGTGCTGGGCTCTCGCAGCGCGACCTGCGAAGCCGCCTCCAGCAAAGCATGGCTGGGCCTCAGAGCTTGAAGAAAAGGAAGGAGCGAGAGAGAGAGAGAGAGAGAGGGAGAAAACAAAAGCCGCCAACAGCACCACCCAATGGACATCCAGAGACTCACCATGGTCTTAACGTTTTGCATGGTTCACCGCTTCAAAATCTCAAAACCGGATGATTCATCATGTACGTGAACGGCCGCTGTTCACAACATATGGGACCTATGGGATTTTCCATGACGTCAGAGGAGTTGTTCCACGTCGATGTCCTCGTTGTCTTGGCTCCGCATTCCTTCTTGGCCGCCCGCCCCCCGGCGCCACCGGGACCGCTTCGTTCGTTCGGTCGGACCACTCCGGGACGCCAACGGGCCCGCGCGGCGGCTTGGAGCAGGCGCCGCATCAAGGTGGCACTGAGTTCTCCTCCGCTAACGGGACCACCGCGCGCGTCGCGGGAGCCGGAGCCGGGTTCCCCCCGGGTGGAGCGGGGTGGAAAGCGACGGTCTGGGTTCTGGGAGAGAAGAGGAGAACAAGACATGTTTAAAGACTTAAAGAGATGACCCGAGTTTTCAGGACTTGTCCTTTACTTCAATTTAATCAACAAAATGGTTGGTCGAACTGACCTTCTAAGGGTCTAGGGAGCAAGGCGCGTGTGCTGACACCACCTCCATGGACGTTGAGGACCACCTCAGTGGATTGCCTTCGGCGGCGGCGAAGAAGAAGCACCGAGCACCGCCGAGCGCCGCTCGGCTCCTTGCCGCTCCAGCAGTTGCCTCGCCAACGCGTCGCGCAGCTCGGCCGGACCGAAGCCCTGCCGCGAGTCCACGTAGGCGGAGAAGAGCAGCACCAGCGCCTCGCGCCCATACGCGCGGGAGCGCCCCCCCCTTCCAAGAGAGGTTCAGTGACCTGAACTAGGACCCTACTGGGTCCCTATGGGACAGTCTACAGGGTTCTTCAACCTCTGTTGGCTGGAGCCCAACCCTCAAGTAAAGCCACCCTTGACGCACGTCAGCCGCTGCTCGTGCGTCCAATTCATTTCGGAGTCCAGGAAAGACCATGAGATTAAATGGCCCTTATTACCCTGGGAGTCAAAGACTATAAAAAGAAGGGTCTTTAAGGGAACTGAAAGGACACTTACTCCAGCCGGTCAAAAATATCGTCAAACTGGACTTCAGCCGGGTTATAGTCGGTGACCCGAAGTTCGGAATGTCCTGCAACCCATCGGCGGCGCGCCATGGCAGAGAGTCTTTGAACTTCTGGTGCGGTTTCGGGGCAAAGACTCTGGGATGTAGACTAGAGTGAAACTGACGATCAGGAATGAAACCCGGAGAGCATGAAGCTAAAGGAGTGACAAGTCCTTATCCTTTAGCCCAAAGACAGTAGGCCACCCGGAGAGCATGAAGCTAAAGGAGTGACAAGTCCTTATCCTTTAGCCCAAAGACAGTAGGCCCACACTCCCCAAGACATCTCTGCACAAGCTCTAGATCTGTATCAGGGAAAGTCATCTTACAAGCCATCCGACAAAATCTTCCAAACTATCCGGACCTCCAAAACCTCTCATGCACCTCCCTCACCAGGCCTCAGCTCACCCCCCTCCCTCCTCCCTCCTCCCCTGCGCCTCCACCGACGGGATGGCCTTCTCGCAGCGGCCGGGCACCACGTCCAGCAGCAGCGCGTGCCGCATGCGCACGCGCGCGAAGGCGTCGGCCAGCTCCGCCAGCGGCCGCAAGCTCCAGGCCTCGCCGTGCTCGATGCGCCGGAGCACGCAGTCGCCCACGGCCTCGAGTCGCGCGGCGCCGGAGAAGAAGGAAGTAGGGGGGGGCAGGAGTGGAAGAGGTGAGGACCAGGTAGCTGGGGAGGGGGAGGGGAAGAAAAGACGATGCAGGAGATGCCAGGAGCTTGCAACAGACGGTGTTTGGCCGTCACAGGTGAAATGTTGGGAAACACATGGAAACACCAGAGTTGTGAGGGGTCTCCAGGAAATCAGTGTTTTTGTTTTTCTGAATCTCTTGCTCAAGGTTTTGCCCCAAAAACGTGCGCAGAGAGAAGCTGTCCACTCTCAACCACACGCTGAGGCGCCCTGCGAAAAAGAGCGTTTCAATGGCCTCGGCTTTTGCAAGTGGATAAGAATCTCCTCCAAAGTCTTTCGGTCCATATCTCTAGGAACTCCTCCTACTTTTCCAAACATATTTAATATTGGCATCACCTTTTTCCACGTCGTCACTGATGTTCCATCAAGAAGACCGAACAGAAGTCTCAAACAGAGGACCTGAGCGCCTCCCAACCAGATCTCCATGCCTCTGCGTCACTCCGAGGCGCTAGGTTCGCACACGCGAAGGCCGTCATCATCGTCGTCAGCGCTTTGGGCTCCATCCAATCCATCCGTGCCATGATCAGCCGACTTGCCTGACCAGCTCGCCCCCGGAGTCGGCGAGACCGAAAAAATGGACGTGCACAGCGCAAAACCCGGCCGTGTTCAAGTAGAACGAAGCAGCAAAAGCAACGAAGCAGCAAGCCATCGCAGTAAGTCTGCGGGAAAAGCTTGGGGTGGTGATTCAGAGGTGGGTCAGAACCCTAGTTCGACTATCCCATAGGTACCCCAAGTGACAGGTCCTATTTACGGTCACTTAACCTCTCTTGGATTGCCAACCCCCCCGCGGCCGCCCCACCTCGCTACCGCATCGCCCGGCCTCCTGGAAGAGGACCTCGTCGCAGCGCCGGGCGCGCGAGAAGCCCTCCAGCAGCGACGCGGCCTGGGGGGTGCGGACGGTGGTCCTTTGTGGTGAGGTGGAACAGCCCTTTTCTCATCCTTTTTCATCTATATGTCTATGTACCACTAAGGTCAGGCCGGTGGAAAGCAAGATGGCTCTGCTGCAATCCAAAAATCCCAAGAGTGCGCCGTCTAATGGCTGACTGCAACAGCATGATGAGCAGTTGGAGCATCTTAGGAGGAAAAAGGAACGACGTACCAAAGCAAATTGACCCTTCTCTATACAAGACCTCGTTGTCCGCGAAGCTCCAAAGCCCAGAACGCCGAACCACTTGTCCCAGACAACGGAAGATCTCCGGGTGGCGCAAACCCAGCCGAGCCATGCCAAGTGCCAAGCTCCTTAGGCAGCTTGCGGGTGAGAGTGGTCCAACTGCTCCCCCCCCCCAAAGACTCACCCAGCAAGCACCTGGAAATGTTGGGGCCTTTGTGAATGAAGAAAAAGAACATGAAAAACCTGATGCTCGTGGAGGACGGTCATTCTCTTCGACTCATGCGCATCGTTGCCTCACTCGATCCTTTGGATTTTATCGGTTCACCCTGCTCACCGGTCCCTCTGGATGTTCTCTGCCTGTCCTGCCGTCCTGCATCCCAATGTCGACCAAGGCACGCCATGGTCGGTGGAGGCAAAGTGACTTGAGACTCTTCGATGGCCTCCAAGTCCTCCAAGAGATCCTGGCACAGGAGATCTGGCGGACATCATTCTCGGAGATCAGACTCTGGGCGTCGATGCTAAAGAGAACCCACCACCTCCACCGGCGGGGACCTCCAGGTGCGTTCAAAAATATGGATAAGGCCAGCCCAGGCTTCAGGCCAGTCCACACGCCAAAACAAACAGCTGGACGGGCGCTAGGGAAAAGCTCGCCGCGTTTTCCGTGGCCTTCAAGAGCTCATCCACGCGCGGATCCCTGGTGCATTCAGCGCTGCGATCCAAGGAAGCCAGGCGAGTCAGGGCAACGACGCGGTTGGAGGTGCCTGAAGCTGTTTTGAACATAATGTGGAAGGTTACTTTTTGGAAGCTAGATTGAAACATATTGAAAGCAAAAGCCTTTCTGTTCAACAAAATCTCCGACTTCAAAGAACCAAGGGCACCCCTCTGACATGCTGGCTTTCGGGGGTGTTCAACAACCCAACAGGGAGACCAGCTATCCGAGGAGGGCGTGCGACTCAGCCTGCGACTCAGCCTGATCCCTCGACTCAGCTTGGGACTCAGGTTTCTGGATGACTCACGGGCAAAACAAGAAACAGTTCTGCTCAAGGCCAAGAAGAGGTGCTCAGGAGGCCTTTTTCCTCTTTGATGATGCTCAGCACCTTCTCCTGCAGTCTGCAGTTCTCGATTGGGTGCAAATGCGTGGGGAAAAAAAGTTTTAAAAAACACAACATATCACTATCACAAACGCAATGCACCAGGAATGGAGAGGTTTTACCGTCGTTCAGTGCGCTCCTGTGAGTTGGCCCGCCGCAAACTCTGATGCAGCCGTTGATGCACCTTGGTCAACTCCTTGTTCTCGAAGAAGCCGTGCTCGTCCACGTGCACTGCTTTGGGCTTCGACAGGAAACGCGAGGAATCGACCACCGTTGCCTTGCGCTTCTTGAACTTGGTACCCCAACCGGTGTATTCGGGATAGACATAGCCTTTCGCTGCGGCATTCGCCCAGGGATCACCTGAAACTTCTGGCAAGCACGACTGCCCAGGGGGGTGTTGGATGGCTCGAACGTCCATTCTGCATTTGATGGTCCTCTACTACAAAAGGAGGCTCTCCACATTCACACCCCAACAGCAATGTACGCGCCCATCGCCGCCTAAGCCCGGCACCCCCGGGTTGGTTCAGTGGATCCGGCCGGAACTCCTGCGCCGTCACGCGGAAGCGGTGGCGCTTGCCCCGCGGCACGCCCGCGGGCGAGGTCACCAGCACCGACCCCACGCTGCCGACGCTGCCGCGGTCGTCGCGCCAGGGGCGCAGCAAGCGGTTGGCGGCGCGGCGCACGTGGTCCAGGGGCATCTGTTGCAAGAGCTCCAGGGGGCCCACGATGGTCAAGGCACCTACCGTTTTGAAGAGAAATGAGGCAGTGATGAACAAACATCCTGGTGCTCTGGAGCTGCAGGAAGCCCATCCGAAGCCATGAAAGTCCACAGCTACTGACTCAACCGAGTGACTTAAGTGACTGAAGAAAGGCCAAGTGTTCAGACCAAAGGCGCCATTTTCAAAGTGTTTGCCAAACTCCTCTTCCACTTTGGCCTCGGAAAGGCCAATGAGCAGCTCCTGGATGTGCAGCTCACCACGCGCACGGACGGCTCACCACACGGCACACAGTGTGAAATGCTGAGAGACCGTTTACAAGGATTCTGTGCAGAATCTGTGCATATCTTCACTGCCCCCTTGATCGGTTTCACAAGCATGCACAGTCTGAATCTCTACTATTCTTCTTGTGGAAGTCACAGACTGTAAAAAGAATGGTCTATATACAGTAGATCCAAGAGAGGTTAAGTGACCTTATAGGACCCTACTGGAGTACCTATGGGATAGTAGTTGGGATAGTCTATAGGGTCCTTCAACCTCTGTTGAGAGTCTAGAGGACCGGTTCCGCGCCCCGCCCGCCCCGTTCAAGCGCTCCTCGCCGATGGCCACGATCACATCGCCGGCGCGGAGGTCCGACTGGCCGGGCCAAGGGTCCAGCTCCTCCACGAGGTATCCAGCCTGGCACCACCCCAGCGGGGGCAGCTCACTCACGTCGGAGCGAGCGGTCCGGAGCGGTCGGATTGGGGGTTTGCGTCCCAACAGAGGTGGGTCAGGACCCGAGTTCGCCTATCCCAGTTGGGCACCCCAGGTGACGGGTCCTAGTTGCGGTCACTTCACCTCTCTTGGTCTTCACAGGGGATCTATCTAGGGATGTTGCTATGCAACTGGCTGGAGTCGAGGGCGCAGTCATGCGGCACTCACGATGGCCTTTTGGGACTTGGGACATCCAAACCAACTGGAATCAGATAAGATCAGCAACTGGATATCCACCACCCAATCAGACCAGCTCAGCTTGCCACCCCCCCCCCCCCCCCCCCCCCCCACCACATCCCTTCGTCTCGTCTCCCCCGTCACCAAAACCCACCAAAACGGACCCACCAGACCCCACGCGGTGAGCCTCGCAGGCCGAGAGCTGCAGCCCAGCACCCGCCTGTTGATCCACCCGAAGCTTCGCCGTGCGCACGGGACCTTCCCGCGATCACCGACGCAGACGGGACGGGACAGCGATTTTCGGTGGGCCGGCTGAACGACCTCAGAAAGACAAAGGAAAAGGGTGGAGGAGTGCGGCTTTGCTTTCCGACCCCAGCATCATACACGTGTGTTTTCGTGGAGAATCATGGGGAGAATCGAATCCAAAGGAGGAACAGAACCAAACGAGTCTCCAGCTCCGGGAGACCAGTGTCTCCATTCGAAAACTGCTCTGATCTGCCCTAAGAATCCGGACCCTCAAACACATAGGGTTTGGTGAAGGGGCCCGGACCCCTGCGAAGGTGTCGGGTCCGACCCCTGCCATGGAGAGCCCGTTCGGATTCTTAGGGTGAGCCATCTTGGGGGGGATGGGTCAAAATCTGAAGCCAAAGACCAGTCCCAGGCCACCAGGCCATGTCCGGGACGTCCGGTCCTCCTGGTGCCATGAGCCACAGCCATTGGCAGTGGGATCCAGCCAAAAAACCAACAGAGGTGGGTCAGGACCCGAGTTCTAGTTCGCCTATCCCAGGCCAGGGCACCCCAGGTGGACCAGGTCCTATTTACGGTCACCGGCTACCTCTCTTGTAATGGCACTCTCACGAAGAGCTGGAAGGTCGCAGACCTCCGCAGACAGCCTCCCCCACCTGCTGCGAGACTCACATCGAGGTTGGGCTCTGAGACCATGACGGTCCGGTCATGAAAGTGCTCCAGTTGCAAACACGGATAGTAGCCATCACGGCTCGATCCAATCATGTCCTCGCCATGAAGCACAACTACTTTTGGGTAGCACAAGTGCTTTTGGTGCGCTTACCGTAAGCAGTTGTGGTGTAATTACTTGATGGCTGGAATGTAGCTCAGGCGATGTTCGACAATGCGAACTCACATCAATTGATCACCAATAATGCGCAGTCAAGAACAAGCGACAAGTATATAAATTGACGCGCAATCGTTGACGCTGGATTTCTCATGATTTCTCCACCTGCTGGCCTGCTGGCTTCCAAGTAGAAATCATCTGCATGAAACACGACTTATTTTCGTCATTGTTCTTCACAGGGGAGGGGAAATAAATAATGCTGCTTCACTCTAAGTTGTCCATGCGAAAAAAACCTTATCCCTAACCCTAAAACTCTCCCTGTCCATGCGAAAAACCTTATTCCTAACCCTATCCCCGTCTCCCCTTGTTCCACCTACCACTTGACTCCAATCAGTCAGCTCTGCCCAGCCGGTCCAGCAGCTCAAACTCCGTGCAGATCTGCGTGCCGAAGAACACGTCGCGCCACGCGTCCAGATCGTCGGACGCGAGACGCAGGGATCGGAACTTGCGCCTCGGGGGCAGCTGAAAGGTCCAGCTGAGAGGTTGAACTCACAGCCCATCCCATGCAGTCCATCCCATATGTACCCCCCTGGGAATCAAGTCGACTATAAAAAGAATGGTCTGACTAGTAGGTGACCCGAGTTAAGGAATATCCTTTACATCAGTCATCAGTCAGTCAAAATAATCAAAATATAGTCTTTGGACTTCTAGGGTACCACCAAAAAGGGATAAAAAGGGTCTCACTTGACATGGAATCTGCATGATCCTAGAGAGGTTTTGAGAGACATGAACCTCAGAACCCGACCTTAGTGGTACATATGTGATGGGCGAAACAAAGGGCTGCTCAACCTCTATAGGATCATCCAGATTCCATGTCATGCGAGTCAGAGGTCGGAAGCTTTCACATGCCTTTTATCCAAAATCGATCGGTATGTCTCTGCCAAGAACAGTTTTTCGCCAGGCTTCAAGAAACGAAACCTTGCGACATGCTCAGTCGAGGCTGTCGACACGCACCGAGGACACTGCAGGACCCAAGCGGTTTTTGGCAGGTGGGAGTGAAGGGGGGCCACTGGCCAGCAGAGACTTTTCTGATCTCAAGCAGTTCCAAAACCCCTGTGCAACATCTGAACGCAACAACCAAAGGCGCTTATCAGCATCCGATTTGGCGTGGGCCATCGCCTGGCGAGGAAACGAGACGACGACGGCCTCCAGAACGACTATGGCACGTCAGTGGGAGGGTTTTTTGGGCAGTTGTTCGAGACTTTGCCAACAGAGGTTGAAGGACCCTATCCCATAGGTACCCCAGTAAGGTCCTAGTTCAGGTCACTTAACCTCTCTTGGTGGAGATGAAGGAAATCAACTATGGTGGGGCCAACGACTTTCATTGCCCAACTTCGCTTGGAGCCCCACGTCCAGAACTTGGCCTTCGGAGATTCGAAGCCAGCGGCTTCCGAAATCACCCGTCCGGGACCCCCGAAAGCCACTTCACAGGACCCGCCACTGTAAAAAAGAACATGACACGGCCATTAGGACCGCATGATTCTGACCTACCCATCTGTCACCCATCTCTCACCCCCCAGGGTGTCCCTCAGCGCCGGCCGCGACGTCGGAGCCCACCACTCTCGCATGGGCTCGGCCACCCAGTTACCGGGTCCGAACCCAAAGAAGAAGGACCGGTGGCGCCAACGCGGTCCGGGGCCCTCGAACCGCTCGGACGGACGGCTTCGACACGCCACGACACGCCACGACAAGCCTCGAGGGGTCGAGCGACCTGGCAGGGTTGGCCGCGCCTTCGAGACCTTGATGAAGGACGCGTGCGCCTGGCGGGGCGCGCCCAGCGCCAGACTTGGGGCGGGGCGGGGCGCGCCCAGCGCCATAACCCGGTGTTTGGAGGGGCGAAGAGGAGGAGCCTATTTTAGAACCCGGAACACCTGGGGTACCAGACTGGGATAGTCTACATTTATGGGGTCCTTCAACCTCAGTTGGTTGGAACAAGACCGTGTTTCGGTGTTGTTGCAACAAGCATTTTGATGTCGCCGCTGGTGTAGCTTCGTAGGCTACTTGGAGAACAAGACCAAAACGGTGTTGTTGCAACAAGCATTTGATTTGATGCGCCCCTGGTGTGGTTGTCTGTTCCATTCTATGTCGAGTCGAGCTTATATCAAAGAAGCCTTCGTTCCAATCACCTCCGAAGATCATCAAAGGGTCACAAGCCTTCAAATTCATACCATATAGTACCTCTTCTTGGCTCACATGGTGCTTTCAGCACCTGCTCCTTTCCGCTCACACGTCCTGAACCGACCCCTCCCACCGACCGCTCACGCCTTGAAGTCGTGCGGCTCCTCTCCCTCTTCCAGCCACGACTTCGCGCTCTCGTCCAGCACCGGAAAGCCATGCCGCATGAAGGCGCTCGAGAGCGCGTCGTGGATGGCTTGCAGCATGTCGTGCGGCTCGGTGCGCAGCCGCGTGAAGAGGATCCTCGGGACTCCGCGGCGCGCGGAGCGACGCGAAGCGCACCGGACCGGAGCGGACCGGCGCGGACCGACGTGGGTGTGCCGGGAGGAAACGGGGAACAGGAGGTGTGGAAGCGCCATCCATGTGCCACTTAAAGGTGTTTGCCAAGGCAAAACGGCCCTACGTTACACTCGTGGGCGCCCCATCTCTGCGTTCCCTCATCCCGTATGAGACCCACTGGGTGTCTTGGCTTGCATGAGTTGCATGTCTGGATTCCCTTCGATATCAGGTCTCGAAACCCAACTTGCTCAAAGTCCGAAGGTCTTCAGCATGTCTAAACCAGTTCCTCTGGCCCCTGGCCCCGGCATGCTCGCAAGAACCTTGCGAGCTCCCGCGGTCCCAAAACCACGGACAAAAGACGAGCTGCTGGCCATTGAAGGAGCTGATGCCGCTGGCGACGATCTTCACCGGTTGATCCCCGAGAAAGTCTCGGATCTCTTCTCCTGCTTCATGGCAGGCCTGAAGCCGGGGGTGACATGAGAGGAATGCAGGTCGTGACCTGCGTATTATGTGGTGCGTGTTGACGGGGGAGGATCCAAAGATTCCGAAGTGAAGAAACTCAAGAAAAGGAACCGAACTCTCCCCTTTCAAGTCAGTCAGATGGACCAATTTTTATTCTAGTTCCATGATGTTCCATGATGTTTTTGCATCTTTTCTATTTATGAAGGTCTGTATAGTTCACCAAAGACACCCTCATGGGCTCACCACACCTCACCAACTCACCTGACGAGGACCTCCCCTCCGCCTCGCCCTCGCCTCCTGCGCCTCGCCGCGGCGCTCCGGCGGAATGGCCGTGAGCAGCAAGGAGCTGTGCAAGCGCCTGAGCGGCTGGGCGACAGCAAGATCGACGGTGGTGGAGGGGCAGCGGAGGTCCAGGGGAGGTGGAAGTGTTGGAAAGTCGGGGTCCCAAGCAGAAACCATTCTGGCTGTTCCAAATGAGAAGAATTGAGATCCTTTACATATAATAGGACGTGGCGAGAGCTGGGGAAAATGTCCATTTGTTTGGTGGTTGGGACTGGGTTCTGGCTCTCTCTTGTTGCTTGCAAAAAGCCCTTCCTCCTGTTGTTGGGAGCTTGGAGCAACCCACTCAGACCTACACCCTGGAAGACTCTCATGGACCCGGGTAGAGGAACATCGTCTTCCATAGGGCCAGACGTTTTCAGGGTCCGTGGAAGTGTTCGGGTCGATGGAGCTCCTTTCCCGTCTCCAACGTCTCCCGTCTCACTCGTTCTCTCTTTCGGCCTCACCGGCACCAGGCACTGCTCAAATAAGGGGTTCTTGGCGATGAACCACTGCTGCATCTGCTGCACATTTCGACGGATCCTGGGCCATGCAGCCACGAATCATCACTCATCCACAGGTCAGGTGGACCTCATTCTACTAAAGTTTTGGCACACAGCAACGCTACTCCAGGAGCTTTTCAAGGAGCTTTCCAAGATACAATGCTTTTACTATGTTTTTACTGGGTCAGACTGGACAAGATTAGGGACTCATCCACCCATACACCAACTCTGTAAGACCAGTCATCTATTCAGGTCTTCGATCCCTCAGGCAGGGCCACCACATGGCCCATCAAAAACCTGGTTTTCCCTGGCAAAAAAAAATAGTCTTTGTAGGTGAAAACCTCTATTTCTTATGGTTTTGAGGGCCACTGGAACCTATTATGTTCCAAAAAACCTGCCACCGCCTGGGCTGTCTGCTTCCGTCCTCCTGCTTCGGCTCGTCCGGAGGAGTCTGGGACAACAGCCGAGTCTCATCCGCGAGAAGAGCCGGATCGCGACGAAATGACTGGGACGCGCACGGGGCGGAGGCCTCGCGACCACGTTGTAGCCTGGGAGATGGGGTGGCCCAAGGAAAAGGAAGGTCCCCAAAAATCGAGATATAAAGATCATGAAGCATCGTGTCCAAAAGACTGGACAACCACCCACAAGGGGAAAAAAGAACAAAACGATTCAAGAAACCCTACATATAGCCCCAGAAAACAACAACTCATCTTTGAATGGAATCTCCTTCCGCCACTTCCGCCGAGTCGCGCGAGTTCCGGCGTCCTTTGCCGCCTTTGCCCTTGCCCTTGCCCTTGCCCTTCTTCCCAGTCTCCTCCCCTCCAGCCAAAAGGTCTGGAGGTGGCTCCTTCTCACCACGCTGGACGGCCTCCGCTGGGCGCTGGACGGTGACGACCAAAAATTCCAGCGCCGGCTCACAACAACTGTGCTATACCTTCCAAGAGAGGTAGCCAGTGACCTGAACTAGGACCTGTCACCTGGGGTACCCAACTGGGATGGGCGAACTCGGGTCCTGACCCACCTCTGTTGGTTCCAACCAACATGGAAAAGTGGAACAGTGGATCACATTGCTGTTCAAAGGGGCGGATCCAAAAATGGGCTGAATTCCTCTTCTCTGAAGCACCACAAGCTCGGTGGCTCAAAGCGCAGGCGGGCCCCCTTAAGTACAGGTGTGTGTATACTTGACGTGTGGGATGGCTCGGATTTGCTTCAGGAACCTGGAACGAAACACCACCAGAGTTGAGGCAGATCCCCAAGGAATGTGACCTGTGACCTGCACCCTTCAGCCCGTTTTGTTTGAAAAAAAACAAACACCGGCCTCCTGCTCATGCCAGAAGGCGTCAAAGCCCTCGGGCTTCTCGACTTCTCCTAAAGATTTCCCGGACCATGGATCCAGCGCTGCATTTTCAAAGGGGTCCATCGCCGCTGCGCTGCGACTCGACCGCTGCGACTCGCGACCGCGCAGGACCGAAGGACAGCCGGAGCGTCATGCTTTCCGTGGGCGGAAGAAGACGAAGAAAGAACTGGTGGGGAATGACTGGGACATGCTTTGGGGCGTTTTTGCGGACCTAATAGGAAGAGAAGGAAGAATCAAAGCAGTTTCCAAGGAGTTCACCAACATGTTCAAGAAAAGTCCTGTCTTTGTGATTTGTTCTTTCTTCTGGAAGAATACAGCTTCACAAACCAGAAATGACTTGAAAAAGCATTCCAAGAAGAGTCTTTCTGAACCCAACCTCCATCATCTCTGCTACCTACAGGTGGCATGGCACTCGACATGCTGCTGACTGAGTGATGCCAAATGTCGTTAAATGTCCAACTGTGACTGGGGAGCCATCGCACTTGAGCCATCGAGCTTCGACTAGTCTGTGTCGCATGAAGTGAGATGGATTCAGCTAGCTCTTCCGCTCGCTGCCGAAGCTTACCAGCCACATGTCATGACAGCCACTCAACCACGAACCAACAAGCTCCCGACCCGGGCGACGTAGCCCGGAAATGCACCTGGCGGATGGTGAGAGGCAGAGCATGTCGCAACCAAGGAAGACAAAGCATCCCTTGCATGTGCCGCAGGCAAGAGTCCTTTTTGGAAGCTTATGGAAAACAATAGCGCCCACATCGCGAGGTGGTTCTACTTCTTTGTGGACTTCGATCAACGTCAAAGGTGTCTGATGCACCAGTGGCAAGTGTGTCCTTAGCATGATCTTTCCTCGATCATTTCTGTGTGTTCAATATCATTGATCCTCCTTTCATGAGCCTTCTCCCACAAACTGACGTGAGCTCTGGACCTCCAAGATCTCGCAGGAGTGCGGTGCTTCTCTCGCAAATCCATCAAGTCGGCGAGTTCCTCGCTGCCTCTGGTATGAGAACATGTTCTTTACATGTGAAAAACAAGGCCGAGGAGAAAAGGGCAACTAAGGTTCTGCGGTTTGACATGGAAAAAAATGTACAGCTCTCTATCTCTTTGGAGCCAACTTATCCCCGACGAGAATCATTGATCAGATATCGAAAGCAAAACTAACTCGCAAGTCTCCAAAAGCAACCCTCCTGTTACTGTAACCCTCTGGCAAATCATGGAAAAACAATGATCACTCCAAACCTCCCAAATCAAATTTAAAGAACATATAGATGCAAATCACCCCACCCCCCACCTCTGCTCGTGCACGCCGTCGATCTCCCATCGAGGCACACGGCGGGCTCACACCGGGCTGCGTGCCAAGCCCAGTTTCCAAATGTGTCCAAGATCTCTTCGTCGGAACGGATCGTTTTGAACATTGCTGGAATTTCTTCAACACTTGTGAAGGGTTGCCATGGAACACCTCTCAGCACCTCTCACCTCGATACAAAGCCTCCACGGAACACCTGCCATCTTTCGACCAAAAAAACGGCTCGAGCCTCCATGGGTCGGGCAACACAGTCATCATGATCTATTTGAATCCCATAGGGTTTTTGATGGTTTTTGCCAAGTGCTCCAGGCAGCACGAGACATCCGCCAGAGAAGCCGCGCCTCCAGGCAGGTCCGTGCACCCACCTGACCCGCCTCGGCCCCGGACTCGGCGTCGCTTTCACTTCGGACTCCACTCCATCCATCGCTCCCCACGCAGCTCAGGCGGTCCTTTTTGGGTCCGACCACTCGGGGCGGTCGCGGCACCGGTCGCGCCTCTGGTCTGGAACGGTCCACCGACGCCTGGAGGGCTGTGTGGACCACATCTTCCTTCGTATGAGAGGGCTCCTTCCCAGGTGGTCCACTTCCACTTACCTCCAACCCCATCGACCAGAACGGTCTCCGCTCCCCCCAAGCCCTCCCCCCTCCCCTCCCCCGCTCTCTCCGCTCTCCGCTCTCCGCGCCGCGTTGCCGGCGGCACCGCGGCGCCGACGCTTCCGGCTCACCGGAGGGGGGGGGGGGGGCGCGTCTCGGGCCTGGGGTCGGACGGGTCCGAGTTGGTCAGAGGAGACCAGTCGGCACGGACGGATGCGGTGGAGACGGGATTGGGTGAGCCAGGGATTGGCTGAAGGAACCAGGAAAAAGGGGGTTTAAAAGGAAACCACACAAAATAGATCAAAAGAATCACCTGGTATTCCAGCCAAAACCGGGTGTTGTGTTTCTGTTTTTTTCTTGTTTTTTTTCGAAGACCCGAGATAGTTCTGTGGACCCTCTTCAAGGATGGAGCCTTTGGACCCCGTGGGCAATAGCAGGTTTCTGCACAGCACCCACAGCCAGCTTTGCTTGACCCGCATGGACACTGGGGAAGAGTGCTCACCAGGGGAAAACCTGCTACTGCTCCAGCTTCCAACGATTCAAGAGATCTGCCTGTTGCTTCCCAGAAAGCCAGCGCCCGGGGACAGGGCAGACATCCTTGTATGAAACAGGTCAGATCCAACACCTATGACCTCCTTCCCTACATCACTCCACCCAGCTCCACCCACCTCCAACACCAATCCCATGTCCTCGCTCCCATCGAGCTCCCCACCAGCCTCTGCCAGGTCGGATGGAGCCTCGGCGGCTGGCTGCCACGAGCGCCGCAAGCTCGTCACCAGCTCCTCCTGGACGGAAGCGCCGCCAGTCGTCGGATGTGATGCGCTGGGAGTTCCGGTCGCCGCACCAGGAATTGGACGAAACTGACGGTTTTTAACACGTTCGTCACGGACCTTCCTGTTGGAGCATCAAGAAGTCTCAAGTCTGTCGCAGCTAGAGCCAGGTCGGGAGGTCACCAGGTTGGTGCCTCCACTGACACATCCACCAGGACCTTCAGTACGTGACCAGACCTTTTGAGATCCCAGTGGCTGAGGTCACTTATATAGTCCCTAAAGAGGTCACAAACAGAGACTCCAAACAGGTCACGTACGTTTCAGGTCCTGGAATCTAGGTCACCAAAGTGTTCATTGTCTTGAAAGTCTAGGGGGTTCGTCTTCTTGGGGGCGCCCCTGTTCTTCGGAATGGTTCTCCCTGCCAGACGATCTCTCTCTCTCTCTCTCTCCAAAGAAAGGCTCCGCAAAACGCGGCGCGCACCGCGACTGGGGACGCGGCCACTTGCTGAGTGCCCAGACTGGACCTTGGAGGTCCGGGGGGTAGCTTAGGGACCATCCCCCCCCTTCCAAAGCTGACCCCAAACAACCGCAGTCAAGGCGGTCCACGCGGGACAAGCCGAGTCCGGAGTCCGCTCCACACGGGGCTTGCCACGACGAACCGAGCTCTTGGACCGTTGGACGAAGGAGACGGGTCAAGCACTGCTGGGTCGAAGGGAAGATCTTCGTCAACTCCCCAAGTCATCTGGAACCAGCAGTCACCAAGCGGTGCTATCCATGGAGGGTGCCCCTGTCACATCCACTCACGGGATGGGACGAGCCACACCACCCCGGGCTCTGTGACTGTTGGAAGGTCCGCTAAGTTGATATGAAAGATGAATCAATGATGGATAGCCTCCGAACTATCACTGGAAGAGTTCAAGCTCCAGCTTTCGCCATCTTCAGAAGACCAAACGAGCCTCCTCTTCAGCTTAATCTCTATGCAAGACCACCTTCAAAGCGTACTGCCAACCCTACCAGCTTCCTTCCTTCCATCATCCTTTGTGGAGGTCCGCCACTCTCCTTTCCCTACATGATCACCCGCCCCCGGCGGCCACTTCCCACCATGTACGGCCGGGCATCCCGGCCGCTTGCAAAAGTGCTTCCGCGCCACCTCCTCGGCCAGGTCTGCCAGGCTCCTGGGGCTTACGCAGACTGCACTTCCCCGCGCGCAGACGGCGCGCTCGGCGCCCAGCTTAACGGGGGAAGGGGGGGAGGGGCCATTGCTACGAGCTTGGGAATCGAACATCTGATCTGGGTCTGCCAGAAAAGCTTCAGAAAGTAGTGTGGAGCCCACTCCTGTTCCACCAACTTCACCACCCATCATCACCAGGTTTAGTTCGAGAGAAAGTGTCTACCATTGTCAGAACACATGGGGAGCGTGGGCACAACTTCCCTCTTACCAAAAAACAAACAGTGTCCCTGACTCTTTCACTACCTTCAAACAATAAGTAAGCCCTAGCCGCTCTGGCCTTCCAAGACCATTGAAGGAAAGGTTGATCTGGCTCGGTAGTCTAATTTGTTGTGGTAAAACAATGGTTGCTTGGGATTCAGACCATTCAAACATATTCAAACCAATGCTTCGTGGAAATGGGCATCGTCACCCCCCAACCCCTCCCGGCTTGCCCCCCCCCCCACTCCCGGACTCCTCCTGTCTTGCGCCTTCTTCATCGTCTTCAGGATCCAACCCTGGCCATCACCGAACCGCCGAACCTCCGAACCCCACTGGTCCGACCCCCCGGCAGCACGAGAACCCTCCGGTCTGCCGGTCCAGGGTTCAGTCCCGTCCATCGGTTCAGTCCCGTCTGCCGGACCGTCGGGTGGGGGGACGTAGACGCTAGAAGCCCGACTCTTCTTGGATCTGGGGGCTGAGAGGGATGAACCAACATGAAGGTGCCATCAGACACGGCGGCTGGGGGGGGGGGCCCATGGAAGGAAACACGGAACCAAATAACTCGTAACTCGCCCTGGGAGCTGAGGGCGAAGACCCATGTTGAAAACGGTCTGACTAGTAGGTGATCTGTGTGAGTGAAAAGGAACTTCCTGAACACTTGGGTGGTGCCGAAAATCGTCGACCTGGACTTCTAGGGTCCTGAACTGACTTATTGAACTTTTGTTGGAGTTGAGTTATATGACATATACATGCCACGTGTGTGGGTATTCGTTCTTCGCCAACCCAACGTTGACGCTCGGCCACCCAGCCGGCCCCTCGGCCACCCTGGCCTTCGCCATCTGCGATTGGGGACCTGCCATGGGCCAACGGTGTATCGCAGCTGCTGGGCAGCTGCTTGGAATTTCCTGCTTGGAACGTTTAGCTCAATCATCCAAACACATGGATGGTCGAATCAAGACTGCATGGATTGCTTACTCATCAAGCCATGTAACACCTACAACCAAACATTCCGCTCACGTCTCCATTCCTCGCCTTGGCTGAACTGCCCGGTGAGCGTGGACTCTCCCGT